GTCAATACTCTTCAAAGTATTTCACATAATATAAACATAAAAAACTGTCAAACTCATTCTATGAGGCTCCAATCAATCTGATACCTAAATCACACAAAGACCCAAGAGGAAAGAGAATTTTGAACCCATTCCTCCTATGAACACTGATACAAGATCACATCAAAAACATCATCCTTCAAGATGAAGTAGGGTTTATCCCAGGGATTCAGGCATAGATTAATATATGAAAATCCATCAACATAGTGAGCCAAGTGATAAAGTTATAACAGAAACTCAGGAAATGGCCAACCAATGACTAGTTCAGTGTGAGATCTATCTCATGGGCAAGAACAAATCTGAGACCCTACTAGTGATACACTGTTATGCTTGTAGACAGGAGCCTTGCATATTTGTTCTCTGAAGTGCTCCACCCCACAGCTGATGAAAGAGATGCATAGACACACAGGAAAACATTAGACTGAGCTCAGAAGACTTCTTGTAGAGCTGGAGGAAAGGTTGTAGAATCCAGTGTGGGTGTAGGGGTGATGGGCACCCAATAAGAAGAACAATAGATTCAATTAAACTTTGCCTTTTGGGGCTCCTAGAGAGTGGACCAACCAACATGCAAACAGGGTCTGGACTTAGTCCCCCAGTATATATGTAACAGGAGTGCAGTTTGAACTTCACGTGTGTCCCCTGACCACAGGAGCAGGGGGCCTATCCTAACACTGTTGCCTGTCTGTTGATACTGTCCCCTGAACTTGGCTTTCTTGACAGGACTCAGTGGAAGAGGATGTATATAGTCTGGTGGTGAATTGAGCTGCCAGGATTATTTTGCCGTAAAAGCAATACCAGATTTCTCTTAAATTCTTGCCAAAACAATTTTGTGCACTAGGTTTTCCACAATAGTTATTGCTTCGACATAGGCAATAATTTAAACAAAGACTGAAGATCGAAAAGACCCTTGATTCTCCATTCTCTGCCAAGCAATTGCCACCTGTGTGAATACCCCAGGAGAGGGGAATTTCCAGTGTCATTGTTCTCCTGGGTAAAGTGTCCTGACCTGTGAAACCGCTGCTAGTTCTTGTGAAGGGAAGTCCTGCAAGCATAGAGTAACCTGCCATAAAGACCCTGAACACCCTGCCTGCATCTGCCCTGATAGATATGCTGGATTGTTCTGTGAGGCTGATCACAATGAGTGTGCTTCCAGCCTTTGCCACAATGGGACTGTGTGCCTGGATGTCATCAATGTTTACTCCGGCTTCTATATGCTTGGATACTAAGGGAGGCATTATGTCTTGGAATTGGATGAATGTGTTTCTGATTCCTGCATCAATGAGACAGTATGACTCAGTGAGATGAGAAGAATGTCCATGTGTGCCTGTTCTGGAGAGTATTCCCTGAGAGTGAGAGTGAACTGTGATAATCTTGTGCTGAATAAGCAACAAGATGTGTTGGCAACTGAGATGAAATTAGAGACATTGTCAGTCAGAGGCATCAGCCCGATGGACCACAGTTTCTGGTTACCTTGTCACTCACTGATATATTTATGTCTGGGAATCTGCTGTGAGCATGATGTTAAAACTTCATATCCCTCTCAGAAAATTTGTCCTCACACATGTGAATAGACTTGATGATGGCAAATAAGGAAATATAAAGTAGAATCAGTTGTAGAACGATCTGTGCTGTTTGCCCACAACTCCCAGGTCTCTGCCTAATGACTGAACCACAGATTACAGAACCATCTCCTTCCATTTTTTTCCCAGATCTCACAGGACACCAGAGTGTTGCTTCCACAGCTGTGCTATCAATACAGGTAACAGTTTTATGACAATCTGAGCAGCATAGATACATCCATGTGACATCATGCTTTGAATGAACAGTCATCATTCCCTGGCTTCCACCTCATCTATAACCACCTCATCTATTTTTTTTTTTTTTGGTTTTTCAAGACAGGGTTTCTCTGTGTAGTCCTGGCTGTCCTGGAACTCACTCTGTATAGCAGGCTGGCCTCAAACTCTGAAATCTGTCTGCCTCTGCCTCCCAAGTGCTGTAATTAAAGACTTGTGCCACAACTGCTCGGCTTTACCTTCTCTTTAGAGTGACATAATTCATATGATCCCAGAATGCCATCAATAATGTTCTATTTAGTTTCTAGGTACCACATCCGACTTATTCTGAGCTTCAGATGAGGAATACCCACTCAGCATGAGCCAAGCATCCTATTTCTGGGACAGAGAAGAAATAAGATACTTAGATCCCCGGGGAAAGAACAAAAAAGGATTAATATGTTAAAACAAAAATCATTTGGTCCATTAAATTCTAGGTGAACTATGCAAATTAAAGCATCATAAGTAGAGAGAAAGCAATAAAAGAAAAGAAATGTTATCCACTTCGTGGGTTAGGAGCATTTTGCATCTAACTGAAGCTCAGTGAGTATCACAAGCTACATTGGTTTCGTGTCTCAGTGCTGTTGCCTCACACACTCTTTACTACTTGTACCACAGCTGGCTCAGCACTGGGTCTGCTGCAAATGGTTTGTGTGAGGATGATGGACAGACTGAATTTCATCTGGTTCATAGGTGACTGGCCCTGCCTGATTTCCATGTTGGCTCTAACTTGAATCTAAAACAATACTCAAACCATGGAACCTTACTAAGTCTCTGCCATGTGTCTCAGGTTCCCTAATCTCAACAGTTCTTTGCTTCTTCAGGATCTATTCCTGGTCTCCATACACAATCATGTCTGCCCTGTGCATTGCTTTTCATTATGTTGAAGTCATTAGTTTATCCTAAGTTAAAAGTCATCTATAATGGACTGTGGATATAGCTCTCTGCTTCAAGAACCTACCAAACAAGCAAAAGCATCTGTGCTGCGTTCTCCATAATTAAAAAAAAAAAGGAATTGGATTGCTATCTAACCAGTAAGCCCATGCCTGAGATGTGGAGACAGTGTGATTATTAGGACTCACTGGCCAACGAGTCTCACTAGATAGTAAGATCCAGGCACAGGATGAACTTTGTTTCAAATGTCTGTGTGTTGACTGATAGAAGAAGACATCTCAACGTGTGCACATAAACACATACACACATACAGAAACACAGTCAATCACTCATACACACACACTGAGCATGAGATGGAGAAAAAGACAGAGGTAGAAGGAAACAGAGAGAGAACGAGAGAGCAAGAGAGCGAGAGAGAGAGAAACACAGACATATAGAGATTGAGAGAAATAAAATAAATAAATGCAAAACACATATAACACATATAAAAGATGAATAAACACTTGTAAACCAGATATTAATACACATTATACTTGTAGAGAGAGTAATTTTATAGAGGAATCCCAAAGAGGGAGGAGTCCAGTCCTCTGTTATCTCCAGCACTTACTGAACAGGATAGAACTCTGCTAATTAGATCTCTGTGTACTTTTTTGACCCCCTGCTAGTCCTCAGTGTCCTGCAGGAGATTTGTGTTTGAGCTCACAGTAACATTGACTCACTGTGTGTCTTACACAGTAAAACATGGCCGTGTTCTCAGACTTCAGATTGCACATTTGCAGGTATAGCATGTTCTTTGCATTGTCTCTTGAGATGGTGAATCGGCCTTTCAAGGTGTCTGGATAGTAGGTGATACCACCACTAGTACTAATGGTTGCAACCCATTCTAGACCCTTCTCTGGAGTATGATGAACCCAGGCCATTGCATAGTCACTGAAAGTGAATCCAGAGGCTGCACAGGAGAGTTTCATGGACTTTTCAGGCTGCACTAAGCCTCCTCCAGATTCCACCAGCTGCACCTCACACTGGACACCTGTAAATGGACAATGCTGATCAGAAAACTGTCACTAACAAAACTAAACAAAAAACAAAACATTTTTTTCTATTTCTCATGTGTACTGAATCTTATTTGTATAAATTACCTTTTAAAATAAGGACAAGAAAAACCCAGCTGAGCCCAAAGTACATGGTGTGTGGTCTGTGTTTACTGCTGATCAGGGCTGGGCTCTCCAGACAGAGCTGCAGGGTAAGGGCAGGGCTGGTTTTCATAGGCACATAGAAGCCTTATTTGCATGTCTCCTTACTCTAGCATGCTCTGGAGTTGGGCTTGGGTCTGAGGCAGTCTTCATAGCAGATACAAGACATCAAAGATGTCTCTGCTAGTTACAGAATTACACCAAGTGTGGCAGTTTAATACTCAAATTTTTTTGGTTAAGATTTCACCATACTTCATTTAGTTCCCCTTTGTGCATGTGCACAGAACATGCTTTGTTTTCATACTCTAATTTCTTAGTATCAGTGTGTAATTAAATAGCACTGCACACAGAATGGTGTTTCTAGATGTGTCCTTAGTCTTTCCCACTGTCTGGGGTGCTCACTGCTTTCCCAATATGGCTCTTGGACAGGATTATATCTGCAAGGTTATGGGAGCAGAGCTCCTTCTTTGTTGGGAATCTTTTGAATTTTACTTATTCATGACAAAATGCTGTCCTCAGGGCTTATTAAGATACAGGAGACACTTCAGGTCCCTGTCTATCTACCACTCAGAGTTTGCTATAACTCTCTTTTAAGCCAATTCAGATGCTTTGCATCATAAGGTTCTCCATATTTTCTTTTTAAGTTCTCCACAGTTTTCTTCTTGCATCTATGCTCCAGGTAACATGTGACTGTATTTATGATTTGTTACGCTAGCTTTCACTTTCTGTAATTAATACAATTACTGCAAACTGGGTTTATAATTAATTTTTAGGATGATATTTTCCTATATATCCAGTTCTCTGATTTCCATCCTCCTCTTCTCCTTCCTCTCTCCACACCTCACCTATGCCCTCACATCATCAATATTCCCTTGTCTGTGATCCTCCTTTCTCCACACTTAGGATGTCTCTTCTTCCCAGGATTTCAAAAGAATCAACAAAACCACAAGCTGGTTCTTTGAGAGAATCAACAAGATTGATAAACCCTTAGCCAGACAAACTTAAAGGTCCAAAAAAAGTATCCGAATTAACAAAATCAGAAATGCAAAGGGTGACATAACCCTGGAATTGGAGGAAATTCAAAAAAATCATAAGATCCTACTTTAAAAGCCTATACTCAATAAAACTGGAAAATATAAATGAAATGGATGATTTCTAGATAGATACCACATACCAAAATTAAATCAAGAGCAGGTAAACTATCTAAACAGGCCCATATCCTCTAAGGAAATTGAAGAAGTCATTAAAAACCTCCCAACCAAAACAAAAGCCCAGGGCCAGTTGGCTTTAGTGTAGAATTCTACCAGATCTTTAAAGAAGACCTATTACCACCATTGCTCAAACTATTCCATAAAATAGAAACCCAAGGAACACTACCTAATTTATTCTAATTACTCTGATACCTAAGCCACACAAGGAACCAAGAAAAAAAAAAAGAGAGAAAACTTCATCCCAGTTATGCTTATGGACATTGATGCAAAAATACTCAATAGAATTCTCACAAACAGAATCCAAGAACCCATTAAAACCATCATTCACCACAATCAAGTATGCTTTATACCAGGGAAGCAGGGATGGTTCAATATACAAAAATCCGTTTACATAATCTACTATGTAAACAATCTTCCATGGAAAAACATCACATGATCATCTTCATAGATGCTGAAAATGCATTTGAAAAAATACAACACCACTTCCTGTCAAAAGTATTAGAGAGATCAGGAATTCAAGGGCCATATATAAACATAATATAAGCAATTTACAGCAAACCAACAGCCAATTTCAAATTAAATGGAGAGATACTTGAAGCAAATCCACTAAAATCAGGAACAAGACAAGGGTGCCCACACTCCCTATATCAATTCAATATAGTCCTAGAAGTTCTAGGTAGAGCAATAAGACAACAAAAGGAGATCAAGGGGATAAAAATTGGAAAAAAGTCAAGGTATCACTATTTATGGATGATATGATAGTATACATAGGCGACCCAAAAGTTCTAAGAGAGAACTTCTACAGCTGATAACTTCAGCGAAGTGGCTATATATAAAATTAACTCAAATCAGTAGCCTTTCTTTATTCAAATGATAAATGGGCTGAGAGAGAAACAAGGGAAATAACTCCCTTCAAATAGTCAAAAATAATATTAAATATCTTGGGGTAACACTAACCAAACAAGTGAAAGATCTGTATGACAGTAACTTCAAGTCTCTGAAGAACGAAATCAAAGATTTCAGAAAAATGGGAAGATCTCCCTTGCTCTTTGATTGGAAGGATTAACATAGAAAAATGACCATCCTATCAAAAGCAATCTACAGATTTAACACAATCCCCATCAAAATCCCAACACAATTCTCCAAGTTTTTCGTATGTGTGTATGTATGTATGTATGTATGTATGTATGTATGTATGTATGTATGTATTTTTATTTTTTACTGAAAACATTTTGATGAGCTCCCCACCTGCTGTGCAACATGATCTTGGAATCAAGCACCTTCCTCGTGGCAATGCAATCTTTCTTAAGTGGTCTCATGAATGCTTTCTTCTCCTCCATGGTCTGGAAACAACAATGGCCAAACTTGGAGGTGGTGTCAAATGAACTTCAGGTCAATCTTCTCCAGAGCCTGATGTTTGCACTGGACTAGCAAGGACTTAATGAAGATTAAGCACTCTCTTCTTGGTTCCCCCCACACACATAGCTTTTGAGTCTGATGAAGTCATTGGTCACATAAGGAACAAAGCCCCCCAGTGGGTTGATGCTCTTTACAGACAGGTCATAATCAGTAGATGCCTTGTTCTTGATCAGTTTCCCATCCTTGATGAGGGTGCCTTGACCAATCTTGAAAATCTTGTTAATCTCTGTTCTCTGATGGTAGTCTTTCTGCCCATTTCCAGCCACAGAGAAGGCTACTCATGCAGGGTGCCAGGTGACAATACAGGCAGCTTTGTGCAGACATTGATGGGTTTTTCAGGGCAGTTTCTTTGTATGCCAATGACTGGTCACCCCTAGTACCCTTTTCCTTTTGTCACACCGATGATGTCAATCATCTCATCCTGCCCAAACACCTGGTTCACAGGCACCTGCTGCTCAAGCATCTCTGGGGTCCAGTCTAGCTTCTCAGCGACCGTGCTCCATTCACCTGGGTCTCCATCAAGTGTGCCTTCTTCTGGCACATAGGAAGCAGGCACATCTCAATGTGGGGAATTATGTGGATGACCTGGGTGTACTTCTTCATGCTGTTGAAGTACTTCTTCTGCTGTTTTTTGCCTGTGTCATCCTGCTATTTCTTACAGTACTTGATAAAAATCTTTCTTAGATTTGTCCCTGTTCTTATAGAATTGCCTTTACACTCCTCACAGACATGCTCAGCAAACACAGTCTTGAAGGTCCGGAAACCTTGTGGGGTTTCCACACATCCTGCAATGCCCAAAACCACCATAGATGGGATTCCCACAATGGTCATAGCCTCTACGACTTCTTTCTTGTTCACCTTAGATTCTGGCCTGTCATCTTCCCAAATGATGTGGGTCATGGAGCCTTGTAGTTTAGAAAGGCTGTGAGGTGAAAAGGCTTGAAAGGGTCATTTTTAGAGAAGTTCTTCACATTCCCATGATGCCAGCTACAATTCTCAGCTCCCAGGCGTGAAACCTTGGGCTTTTTCCTAGGAAACCCAGCAGCCAAATCTTTCAAAACAGGCTACAATTCACCTTAGAGTTCTGTGTGCTCTCTAATTTGATCTATTTTGCACCAGGTTTTCTGTTGGAAACCTGTATAAGCACATGTAAATAAGAAGCTTTTCATCTGCATTCATCTTTTCTTATTGAATCCAGAAAAACTAGCACAGGAGTGTGGGGAAAAATTACAAGCCACAGCGGTGGTATCCCTGGGAGTTTCCTAGCTGCAGTAGGTCCCACAGGCGGGAGGAGGTCTAAGGTTCCAGTGGCCTTGAGGCTTTGGCAGCAGCAATCTCCAATAACATGAGGAAGTCCTTGGTTCCAAAGGGGTTTATTGTCATGGTGGATGGTGGATGGATTTGGATGTATGCCCCTAAAACTCAGGGCAGTCCAGAGTTATATAGGGAGGGAGAAAGGGGAAGGATCTGGGGAGGATCAGGGGAGGATCTCAGGAGGCATGCTTAATTTGCTCTGCCCTCTGGCCTTCATTAGTATGTAAATCCCTAGGCCCTGAAGCCTCTAGTCACACCCTCTACCCATGCACTTTGGGAGGGGCACTGTGGTGAAAATTTGGGATGAGGAAGCCAAAAGAAAGCACTATGTAGGCCAAAGTGGTTAACACAATTAAGCCACAGGGTAAGGGGATTTGGGGGGGGGGTAAGGAAGGCAAGGGATCATTGAATTCAGGTGGTACAGTTTGAGGGTAGTAATATCTGACTAATCTAGATAGACATTATGTTTTCTTCACTAACATGTAACTTTAACTATTTGACTTTGGCAAAAGAGTTCATTTGTAGCCGGAAGGTCTCAATCTGTCTGTAGGACTCAGTGAGCGTCTCTGGATCTTGGCATGTGTCTGGAGTTCAGCATGTGTCTCTGGATCTCAGAGTGTCTCTGGAATCTGCAGTCAGGTGGTGTGGCTGCAAGAAGACAGAATGGCATCCTAGGCAGGTTCCAGGAGGTAGCATTGTCTCTGCTGGACTTGTGAAGCACCTGTAGTATAATCACAACAGGGAAGCAGCACCCAGGCAGGGAGATATCTGCAAAGGGTGTGTAGTAAGCATTAGGCTACTTGGGATCAGGCAAGTCAGGTTGTGTCGTTGAGATCCTAGAAAGGCAAAGGTGTTTGAGGAAATTTTAGTCTTAGAAGTCACCCTTGAGTCTATTTTGGATGCCTGAGGAAGAAAAACATCATTTTAATTATGTAGGCAGCAACAATTTGTTCGTAAAAGAAAACTAGTTGTTAATTAAGAGCTGAAAGATGGTGATCAGCATGTTGATTTAACCTGTGAAAGTAGATCTAGATGACTTTTGAACCTTGAAGAAATCTTCAGA